ATGTTTCATCCCTGAGCTGTAAACACTGATGGCAGAATTGGTGCGAAATTGGGTGGAAATCGTCAGTACAGTGCTCCATTTCGCCATTTTAAAAAGGACATTTTACAGCTAGTAGTGGGCTAACTAGCAGGTGATGCAGTACTGGACAACGTAACTATGCATGTTATCAGCTGTATAGCAGCTGGATGACCAGATTTTGAGCTACAGCTGGCCCAACTATTTGTTTTAAAACTAATATTTTAAAACTACGTAAGAGAGCGAGAAAAAAACCACTATTCCTACATTCTTAATACTATCGTTTCAGTAGTCGAAATACCGTATCCTTTCAGATTTTAACTAAGATTTTATCGATCCTCCAATGAATTTATGATGGTTGATTTCAAAAAAAAAAGTAAATCTGAAAGCGCCGGACTTTTCAACGTAACGAAGCGATTGTTTACTAATAATCATTCTGCCGTTATAAAGGGATTATCGCTGATAATAGTGTAGCAAACCAAACTAAGTTTTCCCGCATCGATTTCAAAAACAGCGCGAAAAACTTACTCCGGAAATAAGTCGCTGAATTTCGTCTTTTCGATCCGCTTGATTATACTCATCGGCTCTTGAAGGTGTCTCACATGAGCCCGCTGTTTCTGAGCCGCTACTTTCGGCATCTTTGGAAGCGGAGTTCTGTTCTTCAGAATTGCCATAAGCTGTTAATGCCTGGCAAAAAAAAAAGTCAAAAAAACCTGTTCTGTAACCAGAGTTTACTTCACCACATACATGAATCGGATCTACTCGGGAATTAAACAGACAGCGTTTATCAGTATATCGGTTCAAAACATACGTTTTTGCGACTAGCTCTTGTACACGAACTATGCGATGCGTAGCTTTGACCGTTCTAAGCCATAGACAGCTACAAAACTCCCTCTTATAATTTGTTTTCATGAAAAGCGGAAGTACTCGGAGGTAGCCCATGCAGAAGTGCCAGTACCAATTTACCATCGAAACGAATGGATGAATCGTGCAAGAATTTGCCATCTTGCTGCCGAAAACGTTAATTTTCAACAAAGCGTACAGCTGCTGCTATTCCTGTATGTTCGCCAGCCATAGCGCTAACGTAGAATTGTGGTACTCGCTTGAATTTATACCGCCAAACAAGGACAAAGACTAGGAGGGGACTCTTGGGAAACAGGCTTACCCGGCACTGTGTGCAGTGTGAAGTGAAAGTTCTAATGCCGCGAATTTGTCGTTTGTTTTCAAACTTTGAAAATACATGAAATTTTCAGTTTGGAGTTAAAAATAGCAGGTTTCGAAGTGTCTGACTATTTTTGAGTAGATCGCTTTATGCGTGATCGAAAAATCAACTTTAGCAGATTCCTGGCTCACACTGGATCTGGGCTGATTCACCCGGGGCAGGTGAAACTGTAGAATAGAGGGATCGGACTTACTGTTTTGATTTAGCTAATACATGTTTTGGCGCAAACCAAAGACGTATCATGGTAAAATCGCGTACAAGTGAGCTTTTTGCCGATACAGCTCAATAAGTACCCAGTAAAAGGCGATGGCTCCCTACATACTCCCGTAGGCTCTAAACCGCAAAATCAACTTCCTCCTCGGACCTCAGGTACAAATTCATGTTGATGCCACAACACTAGAAAATGTATTGAAACTATCGTACTGCTGTAAGAAACAACGCAAAACTTTCGTATGCAAAAAATCTCGGTATGGCCGAGTCCCTTCTCAACAATTAAGCCGAAAACATCTCAAAAACATACCGGGAGCGGTGGTGTTCCGTTATTTTCACATTTCAGAGGTCGACGTAACACATCTGCAACTTCTACAACAACTACTGTGCAATGTGTTTCGTTTTCCAACTGCACCACTCATATAAACCACAATTCAAAATATGCCAAACTACGGGCTGTCATAATATGCGCCAGCGTGAAGAAGTGAGAGTCTTCACATGTGCACTAATCTATTTTTGTAGATAAAACACAGCCGTTTCTTTTGGAACAAGGAGGGGAATCTTGTCCTCAATGCCGAGAATGCAGAGATATATCAAAATGTGTCTGACTGGATTTTTTTGTTCTGCTTGTATTCTGTGTCTTTGTTCAAATACAGCATTGCGTCAGTTGTCACATAACACTCCACATAACAATTCGTCAGGGAATGTGATTTTTCACTGAAGTAGTCATCGTCGCTTATACTTCCGATAAAACAAGTTCAAATGCTGACCATGCCCTTTTTCGAAAATTGTTCTGGACCGGGAGGGAACTGAACCACTTTTCTTCATGTCCGGACGCAATGT